TAATTTAATTAACACTTTGCTATTGTGATTTGTTTAGCAGGAATTTCAAAGAATATGTGTTGCAAGCCACATGTAATTAACTCAAGTGTTTGGCACACCAACACACTAAACAAATGTTTCTGGAATTAGACCTCACAGATCGCGGGCAAGCAGCCCACAAATTGAAGTATTTACGATGACGCACATTAAGCATTTTTATTGCCAATTGAAAACATTTTTTGTAAATGTAAAATGTAAACAACAAGAAAAATGCATGAAGAGCAAATGCTGTTGCTACATATTTGAATAGACTCAATTTGTAGTAAATATATAGACATTTTGGTGTGTGCAGTTAGCAAGAAAATTGACTATATATGTATGTATGTACGCACTTAACTGCCCATTCGGCACTTATCTTAATCGTTTCGGTTGGTTGTGCATCCAAATGAAATAAATAAAAGCCTCGATGCTTCGGCATACTTACATTGAACTCAGTCAGTGTAAGCAATTTAGTAGAACAAATCATATTCTTAGATACTTGCATACATGCATACATATTTATTTATTTTTTTGGTGTTCTCATTTAAGTTAAACGATGTAGGAAATTAGAAAATTTTTCACTATTATTTTCCTTCCTTTTCCTAAATTCTAAGTGAGATTAAATGTAGTCGAAAATAAGAGCTTTACATGTCATACATATTTATGTACATACACACATAAAATCAAAACACCTACACAATATTTTTCTTGTGTGGAAAAAATAGGCAACCCCATTAGAGATATGCCCACGAAAAACATTTCACTCATAATCCATCTTCATCAATCGCGCAAGCCATCGAACAAAATCATCAATCGTTTTCCTCTTTGGCTAAGTGGGTGGGTGGGTGTGTGTGGGTGTGGGGTTATGTTGTAATTGGCCAGAAATATACATACGTTAAATGTAAACAAAATAATTGCCAGAAAGCTAAAGCGCAATCAATGTCTAACTAAGAGCTTTTGATGAGCCACAAAATTTCAGTATTCGACATTTCTTTGCCACCACAAACAAACTGGGCGAGAGGAGTACACATATTGCTTAGTATGAAATAAAAATGATGAGTTATTAATAAACATCAACTCACCGAAGAACATTAAATGCTAATTACCTTTACACACCCTCTTAAATTTAAAGCAAAAACACGAATTAATGCGAGCAAAAAGTAGAATATAAATGCATAGGTGTGCATGTGTGTAGAAAAACATTGAACGGTTGTGCCCATGAGAAAAAGACGCGCACTGAGCTTGGGGGAATTTTTCACTTATACCCAGGTTTTTTCTAAGTTTGGTTGATTTAATTATTTTTTATTTTTTGGAAACATCTTCGATTTAAATTAATTGAAATCTTAAGCTGATGCCAGATGAAACTTTGTAGCTTTGCGTGACATTTACAACTTTGGCAGCAAAGCGCCAGACACAAAAGGTATGCCACAATGAACGCCAAGAAAACAATTTTGTACCGCTTTTTTACTCGTCAAAGTTTCTGTGGATTTTATATATTTTGCTTTAAAATTATCAGCAATGTAATTAAGTTTTATGTTTATGTGTAGATGTTTTCGTTCCTAAGAACTTCCTTTATCGTGTTGGGACCGACTTAAAAAAGGGCCCGTGCTATCGGAGTAGAGGCAGCAAGCAGCCCGTCTGGCTCTTATATGTCGTGGAGGGACCACGCAATTGAATGGTATTGTTCTCAGCCAGAGCATTAAGCCTCTTTATACACGCCAAGACCACTGAGGATTTGATCTCGTAGGATGAGAGAGCCTTGAGTGTCGCCTGGCTGTCGCCTAAAATTAGTATCCTCCCGCTTCGCAGGTTAATCTCTGCGCACAACTGATGGCATATACTTCCGCTTTAAAGATGCTTAGAAAGGTTTCCGGGGGCACCAAGAGTTTCAGCCTTGGGCCGTAAACGTCTGCTTCAATCCCCTCAGGAGTTTTGGAGCCATCCGTATACCACTTTAGTGGGCTCGCCTGGATGTATCTGATAGAGGTACTCCAGGTCGCCTTGCTATGTGTTTCAACCTTTCTTTTGAAAACTACTACTTTATACGTGCCGGCAGTGTTTCTGGATGGCAAAGCATTACCTTTACCAAAGCCCTCTCGCAAAATTAAGCAGAGTCCGTTTTGCAGCTTATTAACTTAATTCTCGCTAATTCAATATTTATTAAACTGATTCAAAAAAAATTTACGAATTTTTTTTCAACCCTTAATATTAAGTTTAAAAGGTCGCGCAACACGGATTTCTATTTTCCATATAAGTATGTGCATAAAATATCTAGAAAAAAATTGTTTTCAACTTTGGAATTGGTTTTCTCTTCTTTAAATTATCGTACTGAAAAGTGCGGTACATATTTTCGTCTTAAATTAGACGCTCTACAAAAAGCGTATCTGATCATATTTTGATAAACCTACTGATTTAATGGTTATTCGATCTTAAAATTAAATGTATGTCATTATTACAGTTTCTTCTCCTATTTTAGGTAAAATAATTCAAATTATCATTAAATAGTGAAAAAAGTATAAAACAAACTTCCGAACATAACTCAATACAATAGAAAGGATTTTAATTAATATTTCCTCGAAATAGGGTTTTTTACTAAAATTAATTTGCAAACTTTACAATTTCAATTTTTAAATGATTTTTTTTTTTATAGTTGAAAATAACTTGAATTATTTAACCTAAAATAGGAGATAAAGTTGTAATAATGACATAAATTTAACAACTTTAAGTTTGAATAGTTGTTAAACCAGTAGGTTTATCAAAAAAATATGAGAGACTTTTTTGTAGAACATCAAATTTTTTTCTAAGTTATTTGTATGGAAAAGAGAAATCCGCAATGCGCGACATTTTAAACTTAGTATTAAGGCTTGCGCTTTTAACAGGTATCTTTTGACTGTTTCTCGTTGATTGTCGTTAATATCTTGGCGGAAATGTCATGTCTAGCAGTTGTACGATGTAGGTCTGCCTGCACGTTGTCAGATGTAGAGATGCCTGCAGACGTGCCTTGCGGGTGACTCTTCTTCCAACAAGTGTGTATATGTTCGGATGCTTCGTACGGTATCAATCGAGCAGAAATTTAGGCATGTCGTTGCCTCTGCCTTGCGGAGTGCGGTGTTCTGACAAGTCGAAAGCTTCGCCGACTGCGTCCTCCTATTCTCCGCTGATCAAACAGGCGCGGTGTAATTAAGAATCGGCCGATTATATTGCCAACTACGTTTCTTAGGGTTTTCTGTGCACTTCAAGAAGCCCATATTGATTTTTGACATTATTCAGGCCGACGAGTATTTGAGATTGAGATTTACATGTTTAGACCCTCTCATCTCACGTCACATTGGTTTTCATTTAATTGCAGCACTTTACTTGAATTTTTCATTTCTGCGCAGTTCTTAATTTTTTTCTTTTTATTTCTTTTTTTTCTCGCCCATAATTTTCCACACGAATGTCTTTCTTGACAGATTTTATTTCCTAACACATTCATATACACATATATCAATGCTATATGTTCGTGTGTCAACAGGAAATGCTCATCACTTTCAGATATAGCATCTAATACAATTTTGAATTTAGCTTCGTGGTTCATCATTCATTCTTTGTTTATTTATACTTTTTTACTTTTTTATATTTGGCAGGCGCTGAAGAAGACTTTTTATAATCTATTGTGCTTATTTGCTTAGTTACTTGATTTTCATATGAAAAAATGTTCGCACATTCGTAAAATATTTGGGTTATGAAAATACCTAGGCATGAAATATGTATGGCTAGAGGTGTTAAGTATTTCAAAGTATATTTATATTTAAATGCTTCTTGTTTAAATGTTGCGAAAAAGTGTTATGCTATGTAAAAACTTACGATTTTTTTGTAAGAGAACTCTTCTGAAATGACTCGGACTTCCAGGAATCAGGCCTTGCTTAGGCGGATTTACTAATGCTTACTGTATACAGTGACGAGCAAAAGTGTAACATGGTGTAACACTTTTTATTTCAACCACCGCTATATTTCCAAGTTCTAACGACTTTCATCCTTTGTTGTATATTCTTATTGGTACACCCCTACTACCTCTCTCATAACGATTTGAAGTTAATCCAACAACAATAAAAAACCAGCAGACAAAAATGTTAATTAAGGCAAACGTTACAGTTTCGCCCTCACACTCAGTTTTGCATTTCACAGTTTTTTTTTACTTAATTGGATGTCAGATGACTTTTTTCTGCATTGCATTTTTTTCAAGAAGTGATCACCAGTAAATAATATGGTTAATCAGGAAACATAAATGTAAATAATAGATTTACTGCGAAAAGGCGGAACCGCAGGAAAAGTGGCAAAAAATGGTGGAGTTTGCTAACATTACCGACGAGTGTCGACCACTCAGATAATTTTCCGACCACCGTTTGAGCCTCTGTGGGAGAGGAATCGTCTATATCTTCTAGTAGCGTGGAATGGCTGACAGTGTCAAACGCCTTTGACAAGTCCAAAGCTACTAGAATCGTTCTCTCACAGGGACGGTTACGGTTAAGGCCACGAGTTATCTGAGTGTTTATGGCGCTAAGTGCTGTTGTTGTACTGTGCACTTTACGGAAACCATGCTGATGCTTCGCTGGGGTCAGGTGGTTCGTGAAATACGGGAGCAGCTAGGCCTCAAGTGTCTTCGCTACCGGGGAAAGGAGTGTTATCGGTCTATACGAATTGTTGGCAGGTTTCCCCGGTTTGAGCAGTGGGACCACTCTCCCCACCTTCCAGATGTCTGGGATGATGAGTGTGGCCATTGACAAATTGATGACCTCCGTTAGGTACGCTACTCTCGCAGGACCCAAATTTTTCAGCATCAGCATGCATATTCCGTCGGGACCCATGGCTTTGGCGGCTTTCGCCTTCCCAATGGCCACCTGAACTTCACCGCAAGTGAAAGCAAGTTCTTTCCTTTTGCGGTCAATATAATTTTCTGAGAGCAATGAAAACGCTTGAAACTGAAAGAATTCGTTGATCACATGCCATTTAAGTATTATGCAGACTCAGATTATATAAATTGCTAAATTATCCTATTTTAATCCATTGTCCTAGTTGGGTCAAATCTAGTATATACCAAAACATATGTATATGTTTAGCTAATCCTAATTCTTGTCTTTCTATTTCCTTTAGGTGAAAATCTGGTTCCAAAATCGTAGAACAAAGTGGAAGAAGCAGGATAACATTTCCAATTCCGAGGTCGCCGAACACAAGACCACAAACCCTTCAAAAAATGCACCTGAAAACAACTGTAAAACCCAGAGCAGCACCGCATCAACGAGTTCCAGTGCTACTGCTGCAACAACAGCAATGGAAACGTCGGGAAAAAAATCGCAGCACCACCACAACAACAATACAAATAACAGCTCCCAAAATAATGGTGGCAGCAATGAAAAGCATCGCACCACAGCCACGAGCGAATTAAGCGCCAAATTGACTGCAAAACAAGCGACCAAAATCAAAAAACAACTAAATGCGCTACTGGAGAAAACCGCAAAAAATTCAACGTCAGCGAGTGTCAACAGCAACAGCGCAGCACTGGTCAACGGTGGAGGAGGCGACAGCGTAACAGCACCGAAAACTGCAGGTACCAGTGGGAAGTCGAGCAACAAAAACGTAGAGAATGCACAACAACATCCGCATAATCACCAACAACAACAACAGCACAACCATCACCCCCACCACCACCATCGTGTTGGCCATCACTCGCATTCGCATGCTCTTCATCGACAACACGCCATCCCGCTGACTGTTGAGCCTGCCGCACCGTTGGAGCAGACAGAGAAACTCGAAATCAAATTAGAGGAATCGCCGCAGCATCGGGAACTGCAATTAAGCCTGTTGCGCGCTGCCAGCAATCATAGTCCACTGCACTTTAGCGACATGGATTTCGAAAGCAAATTGGCCGCCTCGAAAATATCGAATGCGCTACTCAGTGCCAAATTGAATGTGGATAGAACGGATGCAGCTGGAAGACGAAATGGTAGTAGCCTCGAGAAAGAGTTGCAAAAAGCAACGAGTACAGCAGCAAAGACAAGCGAAGAAAACCAGCTAAAGGTGGAGAAAGAAAGTGGGGCAGATATGGCAAAAGAAGAGATGGTGATGGAACAGGAAACAGATGTAAAGTCGCCAATTGTCGATGAACATGATTACGAAGAGCATGAGGAGGACAAGGATGCAGAGATGCGCGATGTTGAAAATTAAAAAGGAAGATTTTGTGAAGCAAACTTCCAGTCAAATTGAACTGTGCCAAAAATTAAATAGAACACAAAAA